TATCCAAATGGCTCAAAATAATTGCTTCAAGCAAGTTAAAAAAAATAAAAGAATTGCATAAAAAAAAATTAAGATTACATTACTAAACTTTTCATTAAGTACGTACCAAGATATTTAATTTCCAGCTTCTTTGATGGCATCTACAAGCTTGGATTGAAGCATGATATTATGGTGGCTACGAATATGGACGCCGGAGATGGCGCAGATTTCAACGTCCACGAGGCTCCGGTGATCTTCGAAAGAAGCAGTTACAAGGTGAGGTCCCCGCATCTCAGAAGAAATGAGCATTTCAAGTAGCAACCAAAAAGCGAAAGCCCTGCTGCATTGGTTACACACACTGGCCAGTAAACTGATCAAAATCTTTCATTTTGGCACCAATCATTTAAATATATTTGTTTGCTGAAAGAAGAATGCAACTCTAGAAAGAAACTTTTTCCTGTTCCAACCGCTATCCATTTTACAAGTGTAAACAATTAAATGAATTATCCATTAGAGAGCATGACATTTGTTATTTGTCCAATGAAATTTGATGTGCTTGCTTCTTTGACTTGTATACATTTAGCTTAAATTGACTTTGTACTTAAGAAATGAATTTCTCTTTAAAATAATAATTAGAGTAACGTAATCTCTAAAGTTTTAATATATTAATGAAAACACATTTTAAAATAGCATTTGCTACATTTCTCGACTAAACAGATTGTTATCAAAATGCCCGCCTCTATAATATGTTAAGAGGAACTTCTTTTGTGTTCATTTATTAGGTTAAAGATAAAATTCCTTGTTTTGATGCAAATAGGATACATAACCACCTTCAATTCTCACAAATTAATTGCTAGGGCATAACATAAATGATGAAAACATTATCCACGAACAAATGATTAGAATGTTTAAAACAAAATCGAATTGTACCATTTAGAATTCATTTTCACTGGTTATTACAATTTAGTTTTAAGTCAATTCAAACAGCCTCGAAGAAGAGGATGAGCTACTAACCAATAGGGCTGAGAAAGAAACCAGGCAAAAAGGGTGTTGACAATTCGTCCGATAAAAAAGCCCCGTGATTGATTGATTGATTGTGTGTTAATCAACTACTAGTGGCCAGTGGGGTGCCCCATCACAACGACAGCGAAATAACGCGTTTGGCGTAATTGCATTACAATAGCAGCCTCTCTTTTCTTGTACAATTTGTGTATGTATCTATTACAGTCAAAGCCACCTATTTTGACTCAACACACAAATATATCTTTTTAATTTCATTTTCCACGGTCAAAGCTATTTTGAGGTTCTTGGAAGTTTCTTTAAATATCTATTTATCAAATTAGAATAGAAAAATAGAAAAAAACAATCAACTTGGATTCTGATGCAGTGGTGAAATTGTTTTACCTGTAAGTTCGATCTTAAATATGGAGAAAATCTTATTGAGAACGTCAATTTTCAAATGAATCTTGTAATGCGTAATTCAAATTTAATTGGAATGCTAATGTGGACTTCGAATACAGAGTGGGAAACGAGAAAATAGAAAAAAACAAGTTCCTTGTAGAATACGTGTTCATTTTTGTTTTTAATATCCCACCCACTCCAACGAAAGGAAGTCAAAACCATTATATAATCCAATTCCCATTGCTCTATTCTATCTTCTTTCTTCTAATGGCTGCTTCAAGTTTCTCTTTTCCCACTTCATCTTCTTCATTCATGACGACTTCTTTCACCGACCTTCTTGCTTCTGATGATTATCCTACCAAAGGACTTGGTGATAGAATTGCAGAGAGGACTGGTTCTGGAGTTCCTAAATTCAAGTCTCTTCCACCTCCTTCACTCCCTTTATCTCCTCCTCCTTTTTCCCCTTCCTCTTACTTTGCTATTCCTCCTGGTTTAAGTCCAACTGAACTTTTAGACTCCCCTGTTCTTTTGTCTTCTTCAAACGTATGTAGTCTCTCTCTCTGTTCTATTTTACTCTGTTTTCATTGGATTCAAGATTATTGATGTGTGTTTTTTTTGAAATTGTAATTGCAGCTTCTTCCATCTCCGACAACAGGGAGTTTTCCATCTCATGCTTTTAATTGGAAGAGCAGTAGCCATCGGGATGTGAAACAGGAAGACAAAAACTACTCAGATTTTTCTTTCCAGCCTCAAGTAGGGACAGCTGCATCAATCTCTCAATCCCAAACTAACCATGTCCCTTTGGTACTCCCTCGTCTCAAATTTATCTGTCGTTTTTTTTTTTTTTTTGCTTTACTTGAGGGTTTTTGACTACTTAACCTTGTTTATATCAACTTATAATCTCTGTTTACTCAATTTATGTGTTTATGCAATTGTTAAAGTCATGATCTTGTCATCGTATCGACGAAAATGAGTAGAAAATCTTAATTGACAACTAGGAATAAAGTAAATTGACAACTTCAAGAGATGATAACACACATAATCATTTGAGACAGATATAGTTAGAAAATACTACAGATAATTTGAGTCGGAGGAAGTATGTTCTGTGTGTTCAAGTCAATTGACTGACACTCTATTTTCTTCTTGTGTAAAATTGATCAGGGGCAGCAAGCATGGAATTATCAAGAGCCCACAAAACAGAATGATCAAAATGCTAATGGAAGATCTGAATTCAACACTTTACAGAGTTTTATGCAGAATAATAATGATCAGAACAATAGTGGAAACCAATACAATCAGAGTATAAGGGAGCAGAAAAGGTCAGATGACGGATACAATTGGAGGAAATACGGGCAGAAACAAGTAAAAGGTAGTGAAAATCCAAGAAGCTACTACAAGTGTACATACCCAAATTGTCCCACCAAGAAGAAGGTTGAGAGATCTTTAGATGGTCAAATTACTGAAATTGTGTACAAGGGTAATCACAACCATCCAAAGCCTCAGTCAACCAGAAGATCGTCGTCATCCACAGCTTCATCTGCAATCCAATCATACAATACACAAACTAATGAAATCCCAGATCATCAATCCTATGGTTCAAATGGACAAATGGATTCGGTTGCAACACCTGAGAATTCTTCTATTTCATTTGGGGATGATGATCATGAGCACACTTCTCAAAAGAGTAGTAGGTCAAGAGGAGATGATCTTGATGAAGAGGAACCAGACTCAAAAAGATGGTAAGTGAAACAATAATATATCATGTATAGTCAAATATTTCTATTACATCATCGTTATCGTTTGTTCCGATATTTTTTGATTGCTATAGTAAAATGTTTGTTATAAAGAACATATAATATAACATAACATGAATGATCTCTTCCACATGAAATGAAACATCATTGTTATAGTGAAATGTTGTTATAGAGAGGTCTGTACTGTAGTAATCTTGAATCCAATTTTTGACTAATGTTAACATTTTTAACTTTGTTGAATTTCTTGTTTTCAGGAAAAGAGAAAACGAAAGTGAAGGTCTATCTGCACTAGGAGGGAGTAGGACAGTTAGAGAACCTAGAGTTGTAGTTCAAACTACAAGTGATATCGATATCCTAGATGATGGTTATAGATGGAGGAAGTATGGTCAAAAAGTAGTGAAAGGAAATCCTAATCCCAGGTAATAACCTTATCTTTGATCATAAATTTGGCTCAAATTTTTTAACAAGTTTGGAAGTTCCTTAATTTGGAAATCGAAAATGAATCTTGGGGTACTATGAAACAGGAGCTACTACAAATGCACAAGTACGGGATGTCCAGTAAGAAAACATGTGGAAAGGGCATCACAAGACATAAGGTCAGTGATAACAACCTATGAAGGGAAGCACAACCATGATGTTCCAGCAGCAAGGGGCAGTGGCAACCACTCAATTAACCGACCTATGGCACCGACCGTAAGGCCTACTGTGACATCTCATCAATCCAACTATCAAGTTCCATTGCAAAGTATAAGGCCACAACAGTCTGAAATGGGAGCACCCTATACGCTTGAGATGTTGCAGAGGCCTAATAATTATGGTATCTCAGGATATGCAAATTCAGGGGATTCATACGAAAACCAAGTTCAGGACAACAATGTGTTTTCAAGAACTAAGGACGAGCCTCGAGATGACATGTTTATGGAGTCATTGCTTTGCTGAAACTGGAATCCTAGAAAGGAGCACGAATTGAAGTTTATGAAACGAAAAACTGAACCTTTTGTTTTTTTTTGCATAAAGAATATGATAGGAAGCATTTTGATTTCATTTGTTAATAGATCATATACTGTTTATTTTTTTGTGTGTACATTTTGTACTAGGAAATTTGTTTGTTGTAAATTCAATCAAATGTGGTGTAGAAGTTCATGCAGCTACCACTGTTATGGGGGTTTATTCTTTAGGATAGGAATGTAAATCCCCAACTCATGACTATATGACACTGATTCTTTATTTCTATCAGATTTTCATGTTTTATATATTAAAGAAGATTGCAGTTTTTCAAGATGCTGGTAAATTGAGAACAATGTCTTCCTAGCAGTTTTCTTTCATTCAAATTTGTATTTAATCGTAGTGAGAAGTACTCTACTTCTTTTTCACGCAAAATCGTATAATGCTTAGTTGTTATAGGTTCATTCCACGTTGATTAGATGACGAAATATGAGACAGCTAAGACTAGTAGTTAAATTCAATCCCTCTGGTACAAGTGTATTTGGTTCTAGGCCACTTTTTGCTGATTTAATGTTTGATTGGTTTGACATTGTACAGTGAGATTGTTTCATCAACTCGATTGGGAAGATGTTAGTCTTGCAACTGTTGGAACCTAGTATTCTAGATGTTAACAAAGCAGATTACAAGTTTTAGGCAGCAGGATTTAAATTCTAGAACTTCAATTTTACCATGTTCATTAACCTCCTCTTTTCCATCTCACAAAATATAGGATCTTTTCTTGCACGCATATTTTCTAACCGTTGAAATTTTTCAATACGAATCCAAATGTCTAAATTCAATAAACTTTCACGGATGACCTGTTTAGTCAGTTTTTAAAAAAAATGAAATGTCTATCTTTTTTAACAATTCTTTAAATCCTAACTTTTCACTTTACATGTTTTAAGATCACAAAATTATCATTTTGATATATAAGCGTATATTTAATTTAACAACACCAGATTCAAAAAGTCTTTCAAAATTCTGGGCTGATGTTGTTGGCTACCATTGAGGCGCCAAAGGCTTAGATGGAAGAAAAATCAAAGCTATGGTTACAAATCTCTACCGCGTACTGAGACAAGCTGCCGTTAATAGTGAATCGTCATGGATATTACTAAGAACCTTCAATTCATGGTCTTTTGCTATTAAAAATGCAAAATCACCTCAACGAGCCTTGACACTCTATGCCCAGATGCAGCGCCAAGCCATTCCTTTCGACAGTTTCGCCATTCTTTTCACTCTTAAATCTTGCACCCATTTGGGCAACCTTCCCCTCATATGCCACCTCCATGCCCATCTTCTCAAATTAGGCTTTAATATACACGTCTATGTTGCCACATCTCTCTTAAATGCCTACATAGGGACTTCGTTTCAGTATGCTTGCAAGCTGTTCGATGAAATTCCTGTGAGAAATACTGTCACGTGGAACACGATGATAACTTGTTTTTCTCGATCTGGGGATGTTAAAAAAGCAAGGGAGATGTTTGATGAAATGCCTATGAGAGACCTAGCTTCGTGGTCGGCGATGATTGCTGGATACATGAATAATGGGCATTGGGAGGAAGGGGTGACGCTCTTCCGGGAAATGGTGATTTTTGAGCAGCTAAAGCCTGATCAAGTGACTATTGGGCCAATATTGGCGGGGTGTTCGGAGATGGGTTCAATTGGGTTGTTTCTTGGGAAATCAGTGCATGGTTTTGCGGTAAAGAATAACTGGGAATTGAATGTGGAGCTTGGTACTTGTTTAGTAGACATGTATGCTAAATGTGGATTCTTGAATTTTGCTTCTCTGGTTTTTGATATGATGAAAGATAGAAATGTGGTAACTTGGACTGCTTTAATTTGTGGAGCAGCAAAACATGGTTTCGGAACTGAAGCGTTGGAGATATTCAAGAAAATGAGACAAGGGGGTGTGGTACCAAATGAGTTTACTTTCACTGGGGTACTTAGTGCTTGTGTACAAACAGGGCTGGTCGATGAAGGTCGTGGATACTTCAAAATGATCAAAGAGTGTGGACTGAGACCAACAATTCAGCATTATGGCTGCATGGTTGATTTATTTGGGAAAGCTGGATTGTTAAGGGAAGCATATGAAGTGATCAATACAATGCCACGAGAGCCTAACGTAGTTATTTGGGGTTCTTTTTTGTCATCTTGCAAGTTGCATAAACAGTTTGAGATGGCGGAAAGAGTGATTGAGAGGGTCATGAATGTGGTGAGGCCAGAGAATGATGGAGGGGTTTATACCCTTATCTCAGACTTGTATGTTCTTGGTGATAAATGGGAGGATGCCGAGAGGGTGAGGCAATTGATGCTCCATCAAAATGTGAGGAAAGCTAGAGGATGTAGTTTCATAAGAAATAATACAGCATGAAGTATTAAACTGCAGCAGATTCTTGTTTTGACAATGATCTTGTCAAGAAAAAAATTATTTCCTCTTTCTGTTGTTGAAATTACTTTCACCATCAGTAGGATTAAGAAGGCGAAAGATTTATGAGTTATGAAAAGGAAAGATGCAACTTGTAAGAAGAAACTTATACTGGAATAACATGGTTGTTACATGAAAGAATTCTGTTTATGACAGATTCTCAGTTCTAGATTTAGGGTGCTGGCATTAAAGCCTCTGCACCTGAAATGTATGGAGATACTGTTTCTCTGTGTTTATAGTGTTGGAGACCCTTCTATTGTTGTTTTAATCAATCATAGTTTTTTAGTTTGAATGATTGAAAAATATTTCTTATTTTATTTTCTAAATGACACAATTCCGAAATTTTTACACTAGAATATGTGCATTAATTATGTTTTCATCTTTTATGCCCGAACAGTGAATTAGTGAGAGTTAAGGGGACAGACAGAGACTTGAAAATCTATGTATCTTTTGTGCTTCAAAACCCATGATTTGTGGTTTCATCCATCAAGGACTTCCATGTTTAACCTAATATGAAACCTATGATATTCCTCTTAACATATTGCAAATGCAGTCGTACATGTTGAAGTTTATCTGTAACATCTCAGGTTTATTAGGTATATATGTGCATAAAAAGACCAACAAACTCCTACAATCAGCATTTGAACACACACCCAAAAAAAAAGAGTTAATGATGAAAAAGAGCCAATAATCCAAATAAGATTTCACAATCATCATGTCAACAACAGAAATCATTATAAAAATGATTATTAGTGCAATGGTGAAGTCAGAAATTTTATTAAGGGTGTCCAAAATTCAATATATGAAAAAAAAATTAACTTATATATATTTCATATAACTTTCTATATACATAATATAATTTTTTGATAAAAGATTATTTCACTGATCACCTTTCGCTATACGTGATTACACCATCGTATCAATGTACTTGTGAGAGAATATTAGGAGATTCGTTCCATAGTTAGTGACGATTATCAACTTTCCACTAGACAACCTGACAGCACAAAGACAAGAATTTGCCATTAACCTGACAAAAACATAATAAATAGCCTTCACAATGACGATGAATCCAAAGAAACAACCAAACTACAAATGCTAAACAACAAATGTAATCATTTGTCTCAAGTGTAAGAAGACAAATTTGTGGCTTGGATTTTCAAAGAAAATAAAAGACCAGCTATAGCTAGAATGTGTTTAAAAGGATTTCGATATCTAAAAGACAAAGGCCAGGTGATCTATTTTGACTTCTTTTGTATTTTTATTTTACTATTTGTCTGCAAATATGAGATTCTTAATTTGTTCTAAATGAGAATTATTGAACATTGGAACCACACATCAGACATAGTTAATTAGTGGCACACGTGAAAAAGGTCATGATTTCTAAGAGTATACTTATGCGGGTAATATGACTTAACCCATAGGGTCTAAAGGATGATATAGTATAATGATCAAGCCTTTCTTTATAATAGCATTTCACTATAATAATAAAAAGTATGTGAATAAAGGACATCGTTATAAAGATGGTTGATGGTATATAACTAAAATTTCATTTTAACCGCTAATCTGAGATTTAAATAAATCAACTTGAAACATCATGTAAATATTATCAATACAGATAAATAAAGGGTACATTACTAAAATAAATCACCTTTTTCCACTAGAAAATGTTTAGTGGCTATTTCCTCAGATATTTTGATTGAATCTTCATATGGAAAAATTTGAAAGTTCCCCACTATTTCTGTGAGAATCTATTTTCCACCATGCATTTTCTCAATGAGCTGATTAGGTAGGAAATGAATGGGAAAATCATGTTCTATAACACAATTTTTTCACTCATTCGCGATGGGAAAAACCTTTGTTTCTAGTAGTTATGGGAGGGGAAAAATTAAGCAGCTGGGCTGGAAGTGTTGCATAAAACCTTGAAAATATCGAACAATATTTTTGTTTTTTTTCTTGTATTCGTTTGAAGTCAAGAATTAAGTCATGTGAAATCTATAATTAATATAGAGGAGCATTAATTTGGCTAATGGACACTCAAGATGACATGAAATCATCGTTTATTTTTGTCTTACATCAAATTATTAGCTTGTTGACAGTATAAAACTAAAACAAAGCAAAATGTCAAAGACTCAATACATTATATATACTGAATACTTCAGCATCCATTTTTGTGTGGCAAATTAAGCATCAAGCAAAGATAAAAGACACAGCTTTTATTGGTTCATATTTAGCTGGAAATTGAAACAAACAATGGATTTGAACAAAGATTCTATTTTAGTTAAATCTGAGATGTCAAGCCCTGGAAAAAGAAGCATGTCCATGGTGGATTATGACATTCCAGAGACAACGAAACGCGTGAAAAGACGAAGAAGGTCACCTCCTGCAGTTGCAGTAGTGAATGATAACATTGGCCAACAAGCTGAGCAGCAGAAAATGGACTCATCTAAAGTTGATCAAAATATTGCTCATACACCTACTGTGAAGAGAAGTTCAAGATTCAGAGGAGTTAGCAGGTAGTACTAACTAAAAATGTTGACACTTTTGTAGTAGTACTTCATTTAAGAGACTAATTCTTGTTAATAATTAATTACATTGGAATTTAGGCATCGATGGACGGGGCGTTATGAGGCTCATTTGTGGGATAAGGGTTCTTGGAATGTGACTCAGAAAAAGAAGGGAAAACAAGTTTATCTTGGTGAGTGTAGTGCACTTGGTGGTGCTATAGACCAATATTTGATTCATTCAAGAGGATTGAGTTTTGGATTCTAGAAAATTTACTTTTAAATTAAACAGGAGCATATGATGAGGAAGAATCTGCAGCAAGAGCATATGATTTGGCTGCAATCAAGTACTGGGGCACATCAACTTTCATTAATTTTCCAGTATGATCTTCATCTCAGACTCACAATTCTTCTTTTGTTTGAAATTATTTGTCTGACTCAAATATCTCTACAGATATCTGATTATGAGAAGGAAATTGAAATAATGCAAACTGTGACTAAAGAGGAGTACTTAGCCTCCTTAAGAAGGTATTTACTCAACTTGATTTTCAATCAGATTTAAGAAATCTTTTCACAAACCAAAATTTACCTGAGTTTTTATTCTTCTAATGCAGGAGAAGCAGTGGTTTCTCCCGAGGTGTATCTAAATACAGAGGAGTAGCAAGGTAACTAAATTCATTCAACCGCCTGTTCTAAAACTTTTACCATCTGTTGTTCATAGTAATTAGTAGTGATCTTTTCTTGAATGAATCATGTAACTTCAGGCATCATCACAATGGTAGATGGGAAGCAAGAATAGGGCGAGTTTTCGGTAACAAATACCTCTACTTAGGTACTTACAGTAAGTACTTTCACCCCATTATTTTCAGCACTGATCGAATCAAGACTGTTAAAATAGGCTACCAACTTGAATCTCGTGTTCTTTTCTGTAGGTACTCAAGAGGAAGCAGCTCGAGCTTATGACATTGCTGCAATTGAATACAGAGGGATTAACGCGGTGACTAATTTTGACTTAAGCACCTATATAAGATGGCTAAAACCAGGAGTCAATACTCAGATGGCATTCCAAGAATTAAGATCAGAAAATCAGGCTATACAAACCAACACTAACGACGTGATTAACCCAATAAATGACCCTCAATTCACTTTTGGCTCCAATTATTTTGCCACAACTAGAGAAACTCTGCCCCCTATTCCTCAGAGCCAAGAACCTATTGAGAGAAAAATGCCCTTAATTCCATGTAACAAGCCGCCTTCGCCTACAGCTCTCAGCCTTCTGCTTCGATCCTCCATGTATCGCGAGCTTGTGGAGAAGAATTCTACCACTAGTGCTAACGAAAAGGACGACCCAAACATGAAGAACAAACAACAAGCCAACACAGAAGATGAGTTTGTGTTTTACAGAAGTGATAAGTTGCCTGCACTGGAGTCAATGGACAAGGTTACTACTTCGTCTCATTTGTGTGATAGAGCAGGGCAGTCCTTCTGGGATGTGATGCCTTAAAATCATTTAACAGTTGAACAATTTGTAATGAAAAATAACTGAAACTTTGTAGTCATCTAGGAATAGATGAGAAGTAGTTTCTTCATAGGACTGTACATAATATGAACAGAGAGAATGAAAGTCTCTCTAGTCTCAAAGAAATCAGAGCAATCAAATGCTTTTAGACTTGGAAAGATACATAGTTGCAAATTGGTCTGCATTCAATAATACATTTTGTTTATATGTTAGTTCCTACTGTGTATTTATGGAAACTTTAATAGCAGAAGAACTATGTTTGCTAGACAATTATCGGACTGTCCTTTAAGTTGAATTATTTTGTCATCTCTTTGACTTCATTCTCCAAAAATCACGGGAAAAAAAGAAGGGTGTTGACATAACACAGGTTAGATACTTCCTTTTTTATTCTTTTGTGTAAGGCTGTTGGAATGAGTAACAATTGTGTCAGCACATATGTTTATAGCTGAGATGTTTCATACTGCCCAGCTGATGCCGACAGAAGGAGTTAGGCAGTCTAAGTTAATGAGTATTTCTGCAGGCTCCATAAGTAATATTTATAAACACAGTCATTTTCATCTAATACATTTTTCAACAGTCACAAACTACAAACACAAAATTGAGCTTGTTGTCAATATGTAGTGACTACTTGAAGGCATATCTAGAATTTTCAGATCACTGTCAACACATGAAAAGAGAATTTATGTGAAACAAGCTGTTCAAGAGCAAAACTATGAAGTATCATATAATCTAACAGCTAGCAGCAGGCTTAACATGGTTGTATCATGCCTTCTTCTTTTTGGACTGGAGCATCACATATCCAGTAAACATGCTCAGCAAGCAGATGAGTGCCATTCCAACAAATACGGGAATAAGAATTGCATACTCTTGAGGTAGAAAATATTTGTGCACAAAATGATCAGTATCAACCAATGGCTGAAAGACAAAAAGCATACATCAACCCCCCATATGATAACATAGGTCTCACAGGTCACTACATCTTGTAAGACAGAGAGAAAAAGAACTGACCAGAATGATGACCCAGAAGGTATAATATGTGAAAATGGACAGGCTAGTAACTGTCAAAAGCAGTCCAATCGTTCTGTCTGCTAATTCCATAGTGACTCTTTAACTTGTGCAAACTGTAAATGAGGAATGCCATATTAAATTACAAGCAAAAATCACTGCCCTTAAGTTTGTGAATGAATCACCAAAGAAATGAAAGCAGGAAAAGCAAACATAGAAAAGGAGAAAGGGAATGCACATTGTGCACTTGAAAGAATGCAACACACATGATCAAAAGCTATGTACCACTCAAGCCAAGACAATGGCATCCATTCTTTCTCAAGAACAGAACTGTAAGCTCAACTCAGTTACTGAATAATTGAATATCTTTCTGATTGAGTTGTTCAGAAGACCAGCAGTGTACAGTTCAAGTATATGTATTTATCTGGTTTTATTGCACAGTCTATGACTTAATTACTCTTGGCATCTATAGAATCATCTACCCATGTATATTCCAACGAAAACTACCAAAATCTCATAGAAATCCTCTGTCCAGGCCACACAAATATTTTAACAGAGAAGAGGAGAGGAATGACATTTTAATAACAAAACATTCCCAGGAAATACAAATCTGGAAAGAAGCATATCAGCTACCGGAAAAAGGGATAGAATGGAGGAACCCAGCAGATAATTGACCAAGCAACATTTTCTTAGAATGTATGGTCGTCCACCAAAGTGCACAGCTATGTTTTTATAGTGCTTCTGAAGTTAATCCAATGTCAACTAGATTTAAATAAACAACAGGACAGATCACTACCTTCAGATTCTTACAAACCAAAGATTCCCTTTGAATCATTCAACAATGTAGTTCAAACAAATACCTACCGTAGAGAAAATTTTGGAATGTTGGGCACATATAAATCAGAACACACAAAAGAACTAACTAGGATATTATATTAAAGAATCGGTGACCTAAAGCATGATGGTGCTACCTCTTAATATCTGTGAAAATATCAGGTGTTATTTCACTAGTGTATCATGCTAATAGATATGTGGTTTCCTTCTGGCAGCACTTAAATCTTTATCAGTCATCTCCAAAGGCGCATATAAAGTAGTAGGATATATCCAAGCTGAATACATCTATTAACACACACACCAACAATGTCTATGTTTTCATTTCTGATGCAACTTTCACATAGTCAATGGACTATGCTAAAACACTAACCCAAAATTAAGTGGTATCCTTGCCACAAGAATCTCCAAAACCACCCACAAGCTGCTACTATATTCCACTGAGCCTCAGATTTCAAAGAAGCTGCTAGGATCTTCACAGACGCACACATACAGACAGACACATAATGGGACATTAATTTGCAAATTCAAACCTCATAACCACATTAACAATGTAGATGTATTGCACGTCAATAACAAAACTAGCTTTTCAAAACCAACATTTGAGTAATTCATTATCTCACTAGTGTTTCCAAAGACTTACAACTCCAGAGGCTAAATTAAAAGAAAAAGCATACACAATCTGATTCCAAACCCCCAATCATTCCATAAAGGCATAAACGAACTTCAATTCCATAATTTTCCAAGCTAAGTTAAAAAAAAGTTCACAATTAATGGAGAAATTACCTTGAAAAAGAACTTTTCGTGTCGTTAAACACTTCGGTTTTAGAGCATGAAGATCGTTATGATCGATATGGATTTCTTTGTAGTTTTCTCTGGAGAGATTCGGAGGGGAGGATCTTGAATAAATGGGCCAAATCAATATTTCCCCTGACATGGGCCGAAATGAAATGATCCTAGCCGCGCAGCCCGAACTTATAAGCTACACATTTAGCAATAAGCCCATTCTAGTCAAATAGACGAGCAAACCATATAAATTTGAAAAATTACAGAAATCCCACATTTTAGTTTACTTATTACCATTATCCCCTATAATTTTTACAAATCTCCAAAATTCCTCAATTTCGCGCATCAAAGTAGTGTATCTCGTGCATCAGATTAATGTATCAGCGCTTATATAATTGTATCTCACGCATCAGATTAGTATATCATGTAGTGTATCTCGCGCATCATATTAGTGTATCATGTAGTGTATCTCACGCATCAAATTAATATATCAACGCTTATATTATTGTATCTCGCGCATCAGATTAGTGTATCATGTATAAAATGTAATGTATCTTACTTAACGATTAATGTATCTCGCGCATCAGATTAATGTATCAACGCTTATATTATTGTATCTATCATGTATAAAATGTACATCAGATTAGTGTATCATGTATAAAATGTAATGTATCTTACTTAACGATTAATGTATCTCGCGCATCAGATTAATGTATCAGCGCTTATATTATTGTATCTGTTTGAGGGATTTCTGTAATTATAAACTTTTAAGGGATAAATTGTAATTTTGCCTTAAAAGTATGTGATTTCTGTAATTTGCTCTATAAATTTCACTAGTTTAGGATCTAGTTACATGTTTTTACTGTGTTTTAATTATATGCATTTGGTACGCTCATATACTAATATCTTGGATACATACGGGTCAAATTAGGTGTATCTGTATCCAAGCTTGATTCACATGCGCACTAGGGCTGTGTATTGGTCGGTTCGGTTTTGAAATTTATCAGTTTGACTTATTGGCTATCGGTTTGTAGAGATGCTAAACCATTATAGAACTATTAAGATATTGGCTTATCGGTTTTTTTATCGTTATCGGTTCGGCTATCGGTTTAACCGTTAAGATTTGATACAAAAATATATATTAAAATCACTTAGAAACAAGGTGACAAACCAAATAAACCATGCACTTGAGTTCATAAGTTACATCTTGCTCAAAAGCAAACACTTTCACATTGTCGAATAACCAAGTGTTTGAGACAACCAAAAATAAAAGTAGGAAACCAAACTCTAAGTCAAGGACTTTATGTACAAAATGGTATAAATATAATTATTTAATTTACTATCGGGTTATCAATTAACCCGTTAAGAAAAAACCTCAAACCGTTAAGAACCGATTACCCAATAACAAAAAAATCAAGATCGTAATCAAAACCGCTAAACCAATAACCCAATATTGATAAATCAATAACTTTTTTCGGTTCGGGTTATCGGTTTCGATTCGATTTTGAATAGCCCTAACACTAATAACCCTCTCGCTAGTCTCTCTCCTTTTATTGCTCATCTCTCTTCCTATATATTTGTATTTGAGAATATATTTGGAATGTATTATTTGGTATCCCAAATACATGTAGCTTGTGTGACTTTCATGTATCTAAGATATACTGGCTCTCCTGCTAGCCTCTCTTCATATATATATATATATGTATTTTCATAATGTATTTGATATCTGTCTGAAGAAATGGTGCATTTGATTGAAACGTGGTACAAAATTATTCAGTAGTGAGAAAATATATAATTATTAAGTTTGTATTATGTAAAAGATAATTAATTACGTTAGAAGTTCAAAATTAAAATTAATAATTATTTTATTATATATTCTTAAGATTAAATAAATAATTCTTGTAATATTTCTCAAAATTTTAAAATATTAATAAATAAATTATATTCTGAATTTATTGTTTTTGTTAGTGGGAGTTAAGAATGAAGGAGATATTATTAGACCATCTCCAACCCGCCTCTATTTTACTCTCCATACTCTATATTTGGAGAGTAAAATAGAGAATGGGCACTCCAACCCACCTCCAAATCACTCTCTATTCTTCAAATTTAGAGAGTTGAATAGTAGTTCTCCAAATTTGGAGAAATACTATTCACACTCTCTATTTCACTTTTTCATTATTTTATTATTATTTCTATTACTTTCTAATTAACATATTATTTTACATATAATTCTATTAATTAAATATCTAATATTCATAATTCTTTTTTAAATGTAATATAATATTTTTAAATATTATTTAATATATACTATTTTAATTTCAAATTAATAGTATTTTAATTTT